ACACACACACACACACACACACACACACACACACACACACACACACACACACACACACACACACACACAGAGGCCTGGTTAATGAGCCGTAAACTCCAGGGATCAGGTCAGGTCCCTGTGTATTCACCTCGCCTCGGGTTAATTGCCTTACCACCACACAGCTTGTTTACCGTCGAAAGTCACGAATTATTGACCAATCACACCTGTTGTTTTAAAGGTCACGGCTATTATTGACCTTACAGAGATTACCACTTGTTTATCCCCTGAGTACGATGACAACCCCTTGAGTACGATGGCATAACCCTTTTAAGTCATCTAATCATCGTACTCAAGGGGTTAAAATCATCGTACTCAAGGGGTTAAAATCATCGTACTCAAGGGGTTAAAATCATCGTACTCGGGGGATGAAGAGTAGGATATGAGAGAGAGAGAGAGAGAGAGAGAGAATAAGGGGAGGGGGTTATGAAGCTATCGGTGTGAGTTAGTCGGCGCCAGGGTTGAGTTGGCCTCCACCCCCCCTTCCCCCTATCCCATTCCCTTCCCCTCTCCCCTATTCCCGTACCCTTTCCCCTATTTCCCCTCCCCTTTTCCATCCCCTACCCCTCCCCTAGCCCCTTTCCCTCGTTCCAAGTAGTCCCCCTTTTCCCTGAAGTAGTCCTGTGTGTGTGTGTGTGTGTGTGTGTGTGTGTGTGACCGGGCTGCGGGGGCTGACTGTCTTGGGGACCTGGAGACGGAGAGAATCAATAGCAAGGGGCCTTGTAGGAGGGGGCTACTGGGGACTACTGCAGGTCTATTACTTGGGGCTACTGCTGGACTGCTACAGGGGGATACCAGGGGCTATTTAAAAGGCTATTGTGACCGACGACCACCCGGGGCTATTTAGCGAACTTCTGGCTGGGGGCTAGGTATTCTATTTTATTTGTTTATCTGATTCTCTATTATCTCTCTCTTTATCTATTTGATTCTGTCCTTTATCTCTCTATCTATCTATTCACTTATCTCAATTTACCTTTGGATTTTTTTATCTATTTTACATTCTATATATGTATGTATGTATGTATGTATGTATGTATGTATGTACTGTATGTATGTATGTATGTATGTATGTATGTATGTATGTATGTATGTATGTATGTACTGTATGTATGTATGTATGTATGTATGTATGTATGTATGTATGTATATATGTACAGTATGTATGTATGTATGTATGTATGTATGTCAAGTCCACGGTACACAGGCATGACAAACGAACTCGTTAAAATCATCACACGAACTTAACTCGTGGGTGGAGGTGGAGGAGGGTGTGCTTTTTCCACGTCCCCAGCATTACGACTCCAACACGTGACACGACAAACAACACAGGACGGTGAACAGACATACAAAGAGAGAGAGAGAGAGATACACACAGAGACTGGCTTATTATTCCCGTCTCTCAACGTACGAACCACACACACACACACACACACACACACACACACACACACACACACACACACACACACACTGTACATATATATATACACACACAGGTAGAGTAAGAACCACGAGGTCTTGGCACCCCATCAAGCCCTCTGTGTATGTGTGTGTGTGTGTGTGTGTGTGTGTGTGTGTGTGTGTGTGTGTGTGTGTTGTGTTCCGCCAGATAGTGAACACCCTCTAAGGTTCCGTTAATCAGTCTCTTATCTACCTGACAACGTCCCATCTTCACCTGAGGTCTTTTACTATCTCGTGGATCTTGTGTGGCTCCATTAATCTCCTCTCTCATCCCCCCCTGACACCCCCACACTCACCCCTGACTCCCTCATCCCCTGACACCCCCCACACTCACCCTTGATCTCCCCATCCCCCTGACACCCCCCACACTCACCCTTGATCTCCCTCATCCTGACACCCCACACTCACTCCCTCATATACCCCTGACACCCCCACACTCACCCTTGATCTCCTCATACCCCTGACACCCCACACTCACCCTTGATCTCCCTCATACCCTGACACCCCCACACTCACCCTTGATCTCCTCATCCCCTGACACCCCACACACCCTGATCCCCCTCATACCCCTGACACCCCACACTACCCTGATCTCCCTCATACCCCTGACACCCCCCACACTCACCCTTGACTCCCTCATACCCTTACACCCCCCCACACTCACCCTTGATCTCCCTCATCCCCCTGACACCCCCACTCACCCTGGTCCCCTCATACCCCTGGAAACCCCAACTCACCCTTGATCTCCTCATCCCCTGACACCCCCACACTCACCCTTTGATCTCCTCATACCCTGACACCCCCACACTCACCCCTTGATCTCCCTCATCCCCTGACACCCCCACACTCACCTTGATCTCCCTCATCCCCTGACACCCCCCCACACCTCCCCCTGGTCCCCCCATACCCCTGACACCCCCACACTCACCCTTGATCTCCCCATCCCCCTGACACCCCACACTCACCTCTTGATCTCCCCATCCCCTGACACCCCCACACTCACCCTTGGTCCCCCATCCCCTGACACCCCCACACTCACCCATGATCCTCTTCATCCCCTGACACCTCACTCACCCTTTGGTCCCCTCATCCCTAACACTCCCCACACTCTCACCCTTGATCTCCCTCATCCCCTGACACCCCCACACTCACCCTTGGTCCCCTCATCCCCCTGACACCCCTCACACCACCCTGTCCCCCTCATACCCCCTGACACCCCCCACACTCACCCTTGATCCCCTCATACCCCCTGACACCCCACACTCACCCTGGTCCCCTCATCCTGACACCCCCACACTCACCCTGATCTCCCCATCCCCTGACACCCCCCACACTCACCCTTGGTCCCCCTCACCCTGACACCCCCCACTCACCCTGGTCCCTCATACCCTTGACACCCCCACACTCACCCTTGATCCCCTCATACCCCTGACACCCCACACTCACCCATGATCCCCCATCCCCTGACACCCCCACACTCACCCTGGTCCCCCTCATCCCCTGACACCCCCCTCTCACCCTTGGTCCTCATCCCCTGACACCCCCACACTCACCCTTGGTCCCCTCATCCCCCTGACACCCCACACTCACCCTTGATCCCCTCATCCCCTGACACCCCACACTCACCCTGTCCCCCTCATACCCTGACACCCCCACACTCACCCTTGATCCCCTCATCCCCACCCCCCGCTCACCTTGGTCCCCTCCTACCCCCTGACACCCCCCACTCACCCTTGATCCCCTCATCCCCTGACACCCCACACTCACCTTGATCTCCCTCATCCCCTGACACCCCCCGCTCACCCTTGATCTCCCTCATCCCCTGACACCCCCCACACTCACCCTTGATCTCCTCATACCCTGACACCCCCCACTCACCCTGATCTCCTCATCCCTGACACCCCCCACACTCACCCTTGATCTCCTCATCCCTGACACCCCCCCACTCACCCTTGATCCCCCTCATCCCCCTGACCCCCCACTCACCCTTGATCTCCCTCATCCCCTGACACCCCCTCACCCCGATCCCCTCATACCCTGACACCCCACTCACCCTTGGTCCCCTCATCCCCTGACACCCCCACTCACCTTGATCTCCCTCATCCCCTGACACCCCGCTCACCCTTGATCCCCTCATCCCCTGACACCCCCACTCACCCTTGGTCCCCTCATCCCCCTGACACCCCCCACACTCACCCTTAGTCCCCTCATCCCCTGACACCCCCACTCACCCTTGGTCCTCATCCCCCCCTGACACCCCCACACTCACCCTTGATCCCCCTCATCCCCTGACACCCCACACTCACCCCTTGATCTCCCTCATCCCCTGACACCCCCACTCACCTTGATCTCCCTCATACCCCTGCACCCCACACTCACCCTTGATCTCCCTCCTTCCCCTGACACCCCCACTCCTTGTTCCCTCATCCCCCCCCCCACTCTCTCCCTCATCCCTGACACCCCCCTCACCTTGATCCCCTCATCCCTGACACCCCCTCACCCTTGATCCCCTCTCTGACACCCCCACTCTTGTGTCCCCTCATCCCCTGACACCCCCCACACTCACCCTTGATCTCCCTCATCCCCTGACACCCCCCCTCACCCTTGATCCTCCCCTGACACCCCCACTCTCATCCCCTCATCCCCT